ATAATAAAAGCATTCAGACGATAAAATCTACTCAGAGTAATTCATTCGTTCTGATACCATTAACCATTTTACTCACTTGTCTGTTGCTCTCTTCAACATGTGGGGACGAAAGATGAAATCAAGCCTTACCCCGGAGAAAAAAAAATTGTGTTCCCCGTCTTATCTGTGGAAAAAAGAAAATCAAAATTAAAGTCAAGATATGGTGTCGTCTTTAGTAAGCAGTAAAATATGGCTTCCACTTACTGACCAGCTTCGAGCAGACAGTTATGTGCCATTCGTGATACACCCTTAGTCGATCATGCATCTTTCCATAAATGACTGACGAGGCAGATTATTTCCGGCAGAAGGTTGACAATTCTTTCTGCAGTAGACCAGTTGCCATCCAAGGCTATAGAACACGGTCTGTCCTGCTATTTACCCATAGCTGAAGGGAGAGAGAAGAAAAGGATTCATACCTTTTCCAATATATATATGCATTTAAATGAATAAAATATGTCATCACATATAGAGAGTGATAAAATATTTAATAAAATAATTAATGAAATAATAAAATAATTAATAATGATCCAGGGACCCAAAGAGTTCAATACCCGGTTAAGGCAGCGTAGAACTTGGAGAGGGGAATTAATAGGAGATAACTGATAACGGACATTCATTAAACATGCCACGTGGAACTAGAATAGTCTACCCCAGTGAGTGAAATAAAAGGTTCAGTTCGACATTCCAAACACTTGAAGAAGGCCGAAACATTGTAATAAATATGGTGACAAAGATGAAGACAATCGTCCGAATAATATAAATAGCATTATATATATATATATATATATATATATATATATATATATATATATATATATATACAAAAGAAATAATCACGCATAGAATCAATCACCAATATTAATCACGCATTAAATTAATCAGCAATATTATATGTCAGGAATCGAACCTGTATCCTACGGAGGACGCATATTTTCTATGACAATTTCTCGGACATTCAGGATGGTAAATGTTGTTTAATACTGTTTATTATGAACAGAGCATTTACTTAAATATTTGTATCTATAAAAAGAATGCATAAACATAAGAATGTCTTAAAATAATTGTCGGACTTTGTCCATTTCATAACGTGTGACGTCATTTGTTTACATTTGGATACGCCATGAGCAGATATGAATGTATGTGAGAGAATCATAAAAGACTGAAGTTTAAAGACAGTAAAATCGATCTTGCTAACCGAACGCTCCTCTGTGGCCAAATCGGTTAAATTCACGTTAGGCTATATGATGGTCCCGTATAGGATACAGGTTCGAATCCTGTCGGAGGACGAATATTTTCTATGAAAATGTCTCGGACATTCAGGCCGGTAAATGTTGTTTGATACTGTTTATTATAAACAGAGCATTTATATCTATAAAAAGAATATATAAACAAAAAATGTATACCCTTATATATATATATATATATATATATATATATATATATAGAGTATACAGTAAGAAAAACAAATATATATATATATATATATATATATATATATATATATATATATATATATATATATATATATATATATATATAGCAGCAATAGCACATGATATACGGCTCAGAGTCATGGCTCAGCTATCGACACCGCCTGCGACTCCTCGAACGGTACCACAAGCCATCCCTTCGCACGATCCTTAACATACACTGGAGTGACTTTTCCTCCAATATTGAAGTTCTTGAAAAGGTGAAGATCACCAGCATTGAGGCTATGCTTCTGAAGTCACAGCTGCGCTGGGCTGGACATATTTTCAGGATGGACAGTCATCGACTGCCTAAAATGTTATCATACAGCGAGCTCTACATTGACTATCGTGGCAGAGGGACACCAAAAAAGCGATTCAAAGATTGCCTAAAAAAATCCTATCATTATTAACCATAGCCAATGGTCAACTCTAGCTGAGAACCGTGACGCCTGGTGTCTCTCACCACCAAACATCCTTCTTTGAAAATACCTTCCGAGCCGCTCTTGGAGACAAGAGGCAGAGGAAGAAGTACTGCAATGTTATATCATCGAGTCTAGGTCGGACTTTTAGCTGCAACTACTGCAACCGAGTATGTTCGGCCTTCATTGAACTTTTCAGTCACAAGCGTGTCTGCAAGCGACGTGTACAGACTTCCTCTTGATCTTCGTTTTGCGAAGCCAAGCCATGATGATGGTAAGAATCGGATTTATACCAATTGCGAAAATCTTTAGATCAACCAGCAGCTAACACATGATATTTGATGGACACTTGTGCATCAAATGTTATACGCTCGGATAATTTCCATCATTCTCAGAGTTTAGAATAATGCATACGTTGTAGAACACGCTAATTATGTTTTTCAAATTATTTTCTCCGTGAAATGATTATTTTGCCCATAGTTTACCAAACATGTCCCAAACTCCCTGACAGACTGTTTATCCGAACTGACACATTTCCGGTTGAATAACTGGGCAAGATTTTTTGGAGAGTAGTTTCACATTGCCTTCTCTAACCAAAGATGTCTTCCAAAGGAAAGTCAGGGGTTGATATTGCTTGAAATTATCATCGTCCTCAAATTTCCCTAAATGAGACTGGAAGCAATATGGGAATTGTTTTGGGATACCGACTCCGGATTTTATACACGGAATTTTCTCCTAAAGACTCTACCATGATCGATTTTAGACACAAAACAGCGGTGATGGTCACTCAAAACTTTTCCTGCTTTTAGAAAGACTACATTTCCAGGAGCATAATGTGTTCCATCAACACATTATATATATATATATATATATATATATATATATATGAAGAAATATAGTCTTATGTTGTGCTATATTTATGGGATGAAGTGCTCAATACCAGAAATAGAGCGTATGTAAATATAAAAGTGAACATAGAAGTCAACACTTAGAGGCGACAGTCTGATTCATGCTGGATGCATGGCCTGACGTTTGCGTCTAGAATGAAACAAACTGTCGCCTCTAAATGTTGACTTCTATATTCACTTTTATATATATTTATTCGAAAATTGTAACATAAATATATCATAAAATCAATACAAAAATAGCCATTTTGTTTCAACACTTCTGGTGCCTTATCAAGTGATGGTGTTGAATCTATCTATCTATCTATATATATATATATATATATATATATATATATATATATATATATATATATATTTTACACATATACAAGGTGTCCATAAAGTTCGTGTATAACTTTATTTGTATTTGCGATAGAAGTAATTTGTAAAAAGGATTAGAATGAAGTAAATCTATATTTTTTAAGGTTTTATTGAAATTTTATTTAAGTTTCCACATGTCCTCCATCATTAGCAATACAAAGGGTAATACGATTTTGCAGTTCACGGAAAACATTTGCTAACTGATTTACAGTAATGCCTGAAATTACATTAGTTATTTTAGATACACTTAAAACTAGGTACATTAAACTTTATAAACATTTTTTACTGATTATTTCTATCGCAAATACAAATAAAGTTATAAATTATTTAAAGTGCACACGACCTTTATGGACACCCTCTAGGTGTGTGTGTGTGTGTGTGTGTGTGTGTGTGTGTGTGTGTGTGTGTGTGTGTGTGTGTGTGTGTGTGTTTGATTAAAAACAATGAAATTTCCTTGCCAATTATTTTTTTAATTTAACAGCCTCAATTTCTACGAAATTTCTCGAAGATTCAGACCGGTAAATGTAATTAATACTGTTTAATTAAAAACAGAGCATTTACTTAAATAAATTGTATCTATAAAATAACGCATGAACAGAAAATGTATTAAATATAAATATGTGTGTGTATGTGTGTATATATATATATGTATGTGTGTGTGTGTGTGTGTGTGTGTGTGTGTGTGTGTGTATATATATAAAAAGAAATATAAGGTAGTGGTTCCAACGAGAGAAAAGTATGTATATTAAAAAGAAGAGAAGAGAGGTGCCGCAAACGTTTTTAGTTGTAATGTGGATTTATTTAGAAAAAATATTATGCTTTGTTTTACATAATTTCACGACACGTGTTTCTGGTTTCGCGATCGTCTTCAGGTAAAAGTGGAGATTTCCACATATTATTAAAAATAATAATTAATTTTTCCTCATGTTCAATGTTAAATATTCTCGATATGAGACATTTTCTGTTTGTGTGTTGGTAATCTGAATTTCTTTTTTGAATTGGCAATGAAGAGTTCTGCGCGAAGGGTCATAAAACAATTAAGGTTGGTCCAGCGAGATGATAAATTAGTTATCGGCATTTTATCTTTTAATGTTTTACTGACCCCTATGTACTCTTGGATCTGTTTCCATTTTGGTGCGTTTCTGTCAGCATGCGTGTATATATGCGTGCGTATATTTCCCCTCTATACATATACTGTTTTACTAGGAGGAATTCATAAATTTATTTGTACCTATACACGCATACACACCCATACGCACATACACACTATATATATATATATAAAAGTGAACATTGAAGTCAACACTTAGAAGCGACAGGCTGTTTCATGCTAGATACAATCGTCAGGCCACTTTCTTCATTTTCATATATATATATATATATATATATATATATATATATATATAATTAATACAAGTAAATGTTTTGTCACTTAGCTGATTGATGTTACCTTCAGCATGCCGACTCAAGAATTTCATAGACAGACCCTCCGGGAATCACTTCGTCCACTCATATATTGACTGTTTATATCCCGATTTTTTAATTTTTATCTTTTCCGTGCACACGTATCTGCCAAGGCTATTAGGAAGTTCCTATTAATGGCGCCCGCTCTACCCACAGCGTCTCCTGTGGCTTATATTGAAACTAACCTGAGCTGATCTTAATTACAGTTTCTGTGACAAAGCACATAATATTGCGTGATCATTTTTTTAACAAGGCCATTATGCTCAAATTCTCGGCCACAGTGACATGTGACTAGCACAGCCCTCGACGTCTTTCGAACAGCTCTGTCTACCCATGTTTACCCACAAGGCAAATTGAATGGGGAGAAAAGAACGGAGAGAAATAAAGGAAAGGGAGTAGTAGAAAAAGAAAAAGGAGAAAGGAGGAAAAGAAAAGAAGAGAAAAGGAAAAAGAGATACAAGCAGATGTGCAGGAAGGAAAATAAGGAAAAAGGAAAGAGAGGAATAGGAAGAGGAAATAAATGAAGTCGAATGGGAAGAAAAGAACGGAGAGAAATAAAGAAAAGGAAGTAGTATAAAAAGAAAAAGAAGGAGAGAAAGTAGAAAGAAGGAAAAGGAAAGAATAGAAAAGGAAAAAGTGATATAAGAAGATGAGCAGGAATGAAAGAAAATGAGAAAAAAATGGAGAAAAGGATAAAGAGAAAGGAGATTGCTCGTTTTGGTTTTTTTACAGTTTATCAACCCTTTATTATTATTTAAGGTCAGACAATGCTTCTTAAATTGCAAAAAAAACATGTTTTTAAGTAATAATTATTTACTGAAAACTCATAATTTTTAACCCATAGTTGGAGGGGAGAAAAAGAAGATTAAAACTTTGCGCGTAAGTGAATATTATAAACCCACCTGGAATCAGAACTCAAGTCTCGGATTTCCCATATCAAGCCATCATCCATTACCCCACCTGGACATCAAAGGTTACAACACCTTGCATTTCAAAACGGTCACCCATGTAGGTACTGACCACGATGTTGCTTAATTTCAACGGAGAGAAAAAGAAAAAGGAGTATGGAGAAAGGGAAAAGAAGAAAAAGAAAAAAAAGGGTAGAGAGAAAAGATGATGAATAGGAAGAGAGGTGGGTATAATGAAGAGATTAAACAAAGAACAGAAGAGGGGGAGAAATGAGAAGTAGAAAGAAAGATGGAAAAAGAAAGGTAGAGACTTAAAAAGTGAGAAGTCGATCAGGAGATGGAGATGATGATAGAGTTAAACGTAAAACACGTACGTTTCGTAATAGAAAATAGTTTTCTTTCTCTTTAGCGTGTCAGGTGACGTCGGCAGCAAGAAGCGCAAAAATGCTAACCAGAATTAAGTTGAACCCGTACTCAAACAGCAGACAATGCTAAAAGTGACTTTTACAGATTGCAAGCCCGTGTTATTTGGTAACAAAAAATATTGACCCAAGAAGGACGTATTTTCGGACAGCTTTTCTTCTATATGCCGAGTCCCTTCAGGACGGGGTGCAATTCTGTCCATTGTTGCTCTTAGTAAAATTTGCCTTTTTGCTGTCTTCCCTAATCCCTGCTCTTCCAACCATTTACACAAGCAAGTTAGGTAAATTATGCATTTGCTTTCCTTTGTTCCTCTTGCCTTCAATATATCCTGTGAGTGTTAATTTTTCTAAGCCCACTTTCGTCATTATTTGCCTCGGAAATTTCAACTTTGATTTTTTGATTTTAATTATAACTTTTAATTAAGATGGACTTTCTACATCATTGCATCGGCATTTTTTGTCGGGCCACATTTATGTTGCCTCAAGCCTCTTCTTCATCTGTCAGGGAAATTTCCCAGCATTCATTGCCATACAGAAAGAACGATATTACATAACAGTCCAGTATTCATTTCTTTGTTTCGGAACTCACGCTTTCACTGTCGAAACTGTTAACTGTAGCCGTCTCTTTCTACTCTAATAACTTCATGCCTCGCACTTCTCGCACGTGGAACTCCTTCCCCATTTCTTGTTTCCCTGGTAGCTATAATCTCCAACTATTCAAATGTAATGTCAATCGACGTCTCCAGATGCCCTGATCTATCCCCTATCCTTCTCTTCATCCTTTCCTCTATCACTACTCTTTGCTCTCGCTCCAATTCTCTGTAACCCCATGCGTGCTGGTGGCTTCCCGCCTTGCTTGGGGTGAAACGCTGAAAAAAAGAAAAGAAAATGTTCCTGATTCTTGATAATCTGCTTAACTTTTGGAAGGCATCTTTCGGTATTCCATTGTGCCTTCAGATTTCGGTGTCGCCATCAATGTAAATTTTTGTACTTGCATCAATTTTAATGTCTGCAATTGCGTCTTTAGCTGCTCCTTTTATTGACAACAATGCATTCAGTCTTCTTACAATTAATATAAAAAAAATTAACCTGACTATTGGTTTTTTGAGCTAGCTTACTTTTAAGCCTGATTTTCTTACAAACCTGTATATATATATATATATATATATATATATAGGGAGAGAAAGATAGAGGTAGACATGGAGAGACAAACAGGAAAATCTAGAGAAAGTGTAAATTCTTAAATTGCTTTAATGTGTTTTAATCACTTTGTAGATATTTACCTCCTGAGGTTTTTCGAAATTTAATGTTCACAAATCTGAACATCCGGGAGAGAATAGTTTTCTTTTGATGAGGATTCAAAGAAACGCCTACGTGGGAATGAGACGTATGGTCGGTTGATTCCGAGGGACGAATATAATGCACTAGATAGATAGATAGATAGATAGATAGATAGATAGATAGATAGATAGATAGATAGACCAAGAGATGGATGGAAAGAAAGAAAGAAAGAAAGAATTGGAGATACATAGATAGATTCTCTGATAGCTAGACAGACAGGCTAAGAGATAGATACATACATGCATATATACATATATATATATATATATATAGATAGATAGATAGATAGATAGATAGATAGATAGATAGATAGATAGATAGATAGATATAAAAATTCTGTGATAGATAAATAGATATATCTGAACAATCTGAGATACACAGATAATAAAACTTTGTGATAGATAGGTAGAGAGAGAGAGATAGCTATATAGATACGCAAATACATACATATTTACGTACATACATATGAAAATCTGTGATAGATAGATAGATAGATAGATAGATAGATAGATAGATAGATAATGAACATTCTATCTCATACACACACACACACACACACACACACATATATATATATATATATATATATATATATATATATATATATATATATATATATATATATATATATATGGGTGTAACGAGATAAGATTATAAAATTATTTCTGTCTTCTCTGTGTTTCAAATCTTCTATTACCTACATTAATATATGTGTTTTCGTTTTTATTTATTGTTTTATTGGCTACCTCGCTATAATTCGAGACTTACACTTTCATTTTCCGCTTTGGTGTAGATTTCTTGGCTTCGTTTGATTCCAAACTTACCAGCAGACAGTCTTTCGAACGAGAATCTCGCGTTAGATACCCGAAAATATGAGCCACCATCTTTTCTCTTCCGAAATCTTCCAAGCCAGCCATTTCCTATTTCTTTTTATTCACTGCTCTTGTTGCTGTATTCGGACGAATTAGAGAAGAACTATTGATCTATAGATAGATTACTAAGGTGATTGACTGATCGAGCAGATCGATAAGGACGAAGTTCAGAAACTGCGTCGAGTGGTCCGATACACACACACACACATCAGACACACACGTTTCCAGAGAGATCTGTTGATTGAAATTATGTAAGGCAGTCCATGTAAACAGTCTTAACACTCAGTCAAATCACGCCAGACTGATAGATAGATAGATAGATAGATAGATAGATAGATAGATAGATAGATAGATAGATAGATAGATAGATAATTATTATTATTATAATGTGATAGATAGATAGATAGATAGATAGATAGATAGATAGATAGATAGATAGATAGATAGATAGATATGAAGTGAATGCCAGCAATGGGTAGATAGATAGATAGATAGATAGATAGATAGATAGATAGATAGATAGATAGATAGATAGATATTATTAAGAGATAGATAGATAGATAGATAGATAGATAGATAGATAGATAGATAGATATAAACAATCCGCCTTTGATAAATCGGTCTGTAATCAGTCATGGTGACTAATGTGGCGTTACAACCGATACACTACGGAACAAGAAAGAGAGAGAGAGAGAGAGAGAGACACAGAGTGTGTGTGTGTGTGTGTGCGCGTGCGTGCGTGTATGCAAATATAATCTTGTACAAATGTTCAGATTGATGTATAGATCGATACAACATAATAGATAGATAGATAGATAGATAGATAGATAGATAGATAGATAATTATTATTATAATATGATAGATAGATAGATAGATAGATAGATAGATAGATAGATAGATAGATAAAAACAATCCGACATTGATAAATAGGTCTGTAGTCATTCATGGAGATAAATGTGGCGTTACAACCGATACACTACGGAAGAACAAGCTTGGCCGTCAAATACGATTTCGAATCACACGCTTAATCACCTCTGATGTTCCATGGGGGAGGGGAGAGATCTTCTTTAAACAGACATATTTCCTTTCGTGTTTTATTCCAATTAGGGCAAACATTGAGTTGACTAATTTCTATAAGACGTTAGGCGAGATTGGCTAAACATTATCAGCCCTAAATCACAAAAGTCAGATGGCCATATATCTACATCTTTCTGGATGTATTTTTTGGTGTTGCTGAAAATCCTGCACCTCTGAAGATAACTTGTCAAATTCTACATTTTATTTTTCTGTTTCTATTCGTCATATTGGAAAGTGGAAACACGAATTCTGTATCTGTCTATATTTCTGAGATGACGTATTATGTACACTATTTACATTATTCGGACTATTGTCCTCATCTTTGTCGCCATATTTATTACAACGTTTCGGCCTTTCAGTATCTATCTATATTTCTGAGATGAGGTATTATGTACACTATTTACATTATTCGGACTATTGTCCTCATCTTCGTCGCCATATTTATTACAACGTTTCAGCCGTTGTAGTCTCCGGCCTTCTTCAGGTTGGAAAGTCGAACTGAACCCTTTATTTCGCTCACTGAGGTGGACTGAGGTAGACTGTTTTGGGGATGGATCTATATATATATTTCACAGTTTTACTAACACTAGTTGGAGGATAGAAGGTACTTACTGGGAACCGACCATTTTTCCAGCATCTTTAGGGATTGATCTATATATATATATCACAGTTTTACTAAGACTATTTGTCTAAAGCAGTGACTCTCAACCTTTTGTTACCCATGGACCCATTTTTACAAATACATTTTTGGTTGACCCCTATAATGATTCGATTAAAAGAAAAAAGCTTATTTTATTTTTTGCTAGTGGATAAGTTAAGTAATTATATTAGTAAATGTATATGCATGATTTAATTAAAATAAGCTTGTATATAACAACTAAATTCTGTAGAACATTAATGTACGCTAGTACATCCCAATTATTGTTAAATGGCCACCCAGGATCCATATGGACCCCGGTTGAGAACATCTGGTCTAGAGTCATAAATAAACAATGTGGAAATTGAAATTAAAGTAACTTGACTTCAACTTGCTCGGTTCTTCTTCAGGAAATCTGTTTTTCTTTAATGACTACTTTGTCGTTTGAACTCCAAGAACCACACTACTGGAAAAAGATAAATAAGCTGATTGATTAAAATGAATTTTAAATATATGTATGAAGATTCGAAATCGCCAGGTTACTTATTACCTCCCGCTCGAGGATTTTCTTTCAGGAAATAAGATCATGGCTGTGAAGTCAGTAAGACTGAGTAGAAAGAATATTCTTCTGTGGACTAGATCTTTAAAAAAAATACAATTTTAAAAGTAACGATGTGGTTAAGTAGTTTAGAACAGATTGGAATAATCTGTTTGCTATGACAATAACATCGTCATGGAGATTTGTAGTGGCAGTTTGACTGTTAATACATCATTATTATTATTATTATTAAGATTATTATTATTATAGAGAAATACTAAATGTATATGGATAATTTAATTAAAATAAACTTGTATATAACAACTAAATTCTGTAGAACATTAATGTACACTAGTATATCCCAATTAATGTATGAAGATTAGAAATCGCCAGGTGTAGCGGTTTAGTATAAGTTTAAATACCAACAGACGCTCAAGGCACGTCCTCCCCTCTGAGAGAATATCCATTCATTGTGATTGATTTTAGTTCAGGGTCCCATTTTCAATTATAGAATGTGAGTAGTTTGCTTTTCGGGTCATTGAAGGTAACCAACCAGTTTCTCAGCCGCTGAGAGATGAAAAATATCAACCGATTGAGAGCCATTTTATTTATTAAAGCTTAATAAAGTTGCGTTAGAAATATAAGTTTTGTTTCATGCATAAAACATGATTAATTTTTGCATTAAACTGAGCCTTTAACTGCTATATGAAAAATGAAGACTGGAAAACTCCTGCCCATATATGGTAACATTTCTCCATTTTTAGTCTAATCTGTCTCTTGTAAAAGTGGAGGATAGAAGGTACTTACTGGGAACCGACCATTTTTCCAGCATCTTTAGGGATGGATCTATATATATTTTTCATAGTATTAGTCTAAAGCAGTGACTCTCAACCTTTTGTTGTCCATGGACCCCTTTTTACAAATACATTTCTTTTCGTTGACCTCCATAATGATTCGATGAAAAAAAAAAGCTTATTTCATTTTTTGCTAGTGGATAAGTTTAGTAATTGTATTATAGAAATACTAAATGTATATGCATAATTTAATTAAAATAAACTTGTATATAACAACTAAATTCTGTAGAACATTAATGTACACTAGTACATTAATAGTAGTTTGCTTTTCGGGTCATTGAAGGTAACCAACCAGTTTCTCAGCCGCTGAGAGATGAAAAATATCAACCGATTGAGAGCCATTTTATTTATTAAAGCTTAATAAAGAAATATGAGTTGTGTTTCACGCATAAAACATGATTCATACTTGCACTAAACTGAGCCTTTAACTGCTGCGTGATATCTGCCCTCATAGATAGCGCCGAATGCTGAACAATTTCCTCAAAGATGAAGAAGACGCTTGAAGCAACAGACGTATCATTCTACAGAAGGATGCTGAGAATAACATGGACCAAATATGAGCAACGACCAAGCTTTAGAGAAAATCAAAAAAGAAAAGGAAACTTAACATCAGGAAGAGAAAGTTGAGATATCTAGAGTGTATAATGAGGAAGGAGGGCTAGGAAAATCTGATACTCACAGGACAGAGGAAAACAACGCATAACAGTATACGTGAGGAAATGGATGGTGGGACAGCGAACTAACAGAAAGACAACATTTATTAAGAGCTACGAAGGACAGGAAAATTGTGGAGAACCATGATCGCCTACGTCCTGAAGGGAAACGTTACGTAAAGAAGAAGCTAATAAGAAAATTGTAACACTTGAAGTATCGGGATACGTTTTCAATGGACATTTAAGAAAAATAGGATTCTTCAAATGCAAAGAAATGAGTATATTTCTTTGGATTTCAGTATAAAATCATTACTTTTTAGTTAAATTTGAAAACAAGGGTACAAAAAAAACGGGCGTGTCTTTGTGTTGTCGGCACGGCGAGGCCGGCTACAATGAATTCCTTTAAAATAACAACTTCAAGTTATCAAAGGATGAAGATTCGTGAAGAGAAAGACAGGAAGAAATAAAAGGATGGATGAATGAAAAAGAGAAATATAAGAAAAAAAGAGAAGAAGGAAAAAATGGAAATCATCAAATGACGAAAAGTCTTAGGGGAAAAAGAAACAATGAACGGATTTGATATAAGAAATGAGAGCGAAGAAAGAAAGAAAGAAAGAAAGAAAGAAAGAAAGAAAGAAAGAGAAAGGGAAAAAGAAAGAAAGAAAAAGAAAGAAAGAAAGAAAGAAAGAAAGAAAGAAAGAAAGAAAGAAAGAAAAAGAAAGAAAAATAAAATACATGATAAAACAACCGCAAGAAAGAAAGAAAGAAAGAAAATTAAAATATATGATAAAACAACGTAGGTATTACCTGAAAGAAAGAAAGAAAGAAAGAAAGAAAGAAAGAAAGAAAGAAAGAAAAAAAGAAAATTAAAAATATAGGATAAAACAACGTAGGTAAGAAAGAAAGAAAGAAAGAAAAAAGAAAGAAAGAAAGAAAGAAAAGAAAAGAAAGAAAGAAAGAAAGAAAGAAAGAAAGAAAGAAAGAAAGAAAGAAAATTAAAATATATGATAAAACAACGTAGGTATTACCTGAAAGAAAGAAAGAAAGAAAGAAAGAAAGAAAGAAAGAAAGAAAGAAAGAAAGAAAGAAAAAAGAAAGAAAGAAAGAGAAAGAAAAAAGACAGAAAAAGGGAAAAAGAAAGAAAGAAAAAGAAAGAAAGAAAAAGAAAGAAAGAAAGAAAGAAAGAAAAAGAAAGAAAGAAAAATAAAATACATGATAAAACAACCGCAAGAAAGAAAGAAAGAAAGAAAGAAAGAAAGAAAGAAAGAAAGAAAGAAAGAAAGAAAGAAAATTAAAATATATGATAAAACAACGTGGGTATTACCTGAAAAGAAAGAAAGAAAGAAAGAAAGAAAGAAAGAAAGAAAGAAAAAAAAAATTAAAATATATGATAAAACAACGTAGGTATTACCTGAAAGAAAGAAAGAAAGAAAGAAAGAAAGAAAGAAAGAAAGAAAGAAAGAAAGAAAGAAAGAAAGAAAAGAAAAAAGACAGAAAAAGGGAAAAAGAAAGAAAGAAAAAGAAAGAAAGAAAAAGAAAGAAAGAAAGAAAGAAAGAAAGAAAGAAAGAAAGAAAGAAAGAAAGAAAGAAAAGAAAGAAAAAAAATAAAATACATGATAAAACAACCAAGAAAGAAAGAAAGAAAAGAAAGAAAGAAAGAAAGAAAGAAAGAAAGAAAGAAAGAAAGAAAATTAAAATATATGATAAAACAACGTAGGTATTACCTGAAAGAAAGAAAGAAAGAAAGAAAGAAAGAAAGAAAGAAAGAAAGAAAGAAAGAAAGAAAGAAAGAAAGAAAATTAAAATATATGATAAAACAACGTAGGTATTACCTGAAAGAAAGAAAGAAAGAAAGAACGAAAAAGAAAGAAAAGAAAGAAAGAAAGAAAGAAAGAAAGAAAGAAAGAAAGAAAATTAAAATATATGATAAAACAACGTAGGTATTACCTGAAAGAAAGAAAGAAAGAAAGAAAGAAAGAAAGAAAAAAAGAAGGAAAAAAAGAAAGAAAGAAAGAAAGATAGATAAAATACAAGATAAAACAACTGCAAGAAAGAAAGAAACAAGGAAAAAGAAAAAAGAAAGAATGAAAATTATAATATATGATGAAACAACGATAGTATTTCTTATGAGGAAGGAAGGAAGGAAGGAAGGAAGGAAGGAAGGAAGTAAGAGGTCGTGAGTTTAATATTTCAAGGAAAAATGTTTGGGGAAAGAAAACAGAAAGAAGATAAATGACACATCAAGTGTTGTAGTCTTTCATGAAAGACAGAATATCTGAGTTAAAATGCGTTCTAAGAAAAAACCGAAAATAATTGATGAAAGAGAATTTTTCAAATGACAATGTAAAAAAATGTGCTCAAAAGTGGAAGAAAAAAATTAATGTCATCTTTGCTGAAACCCAAAATATTGTTTGTTGACTGAAAAAAATGTGATCAGAGTTTGAAGCCGGTACATGATCAGACATTTGTCTGTGATTGACAATACATCGGTAATACAATCATCCAAGACAACTGTGGACACAACAATGAAAGAGCAATTTCAATCGGCTCGCCTTGTGCTTGCCACTCCTACCCACCGGAAACTAAACCTGGCATGCGCAAGGATTCATATCCGCTACTTTTCTGTTGCTATTGTATCTGCTAAATACTTTTCAACACCTGATGCAATTTGATCTCCTTATTTTCGCTTTTCATTCCCCCTTTTCGTCTTTTCTCTTATTTCATTCTTCTTTTCACTGATTTTCTTTCCACTTTGAAGTTTTCGCCGTTACCTCTTTCTCAGATCTTTGTTTTCTTGCCGATTGTTCTTCTTCCTCTTCCATGAGTGAAACTTCCTCTTTTCAGCCATCGCTTCCCTCATTGTATAGTGTTCTTTCTCTTCTCTTCTCCTTTTTTTTTTTTTGAAATGTACCTTAATAAACGTTGTCTTATTTTAGCGTACACCATTCTCTCTTTTCTTCTCAGATGTCGACCTATTCTTGTCCTTCTCGTCCGTTCATTCATTTCCGCTCATTCACTTCCGCTTCCTTCGTTCTTTTCTTTCTATTTTTCGCCATCCCTTTTCAAATGAATGGAAATAGAAGTTAAGCATTGTGTTGCTACACCAGCAATCCTTGGTAGTCCTGAGAAATACATAACATAATAAAAGGCAGACCATTTTAATTTTCCCCTCTCTCTCTCTCTTTCTTTCTATCTATCTATCTATCTATCTATCTATCTATCTATCTATCTATCTATCTATCTATCTATCTGTGTACGTCTCTATTTATTTATCGCTCTGCTTACGCCTCCCTCTCTCTCTCTCTCTCTCTCTTTCAGTTATCCTTCATTCTCTCTCTCTCTCTTTCTCTCTATCTATCTATCTATCTATCTATCTATCTATTTATCTATCTATCTATCTCTCGCTCTGTGTACGTCTCTATTTATCTATCGCTCTGCTTACACCTCCCTCTCTCTCTCTGTCTTTCTTTCAGTTATCCTTCATTCTCTCTCTCTCTGTCTTTATCTATCTCTCGCTCTGTCTATCTATCTATCTATCGCTCTCTGTACGCTTTACTCTCTTTCTATCAGTTATCCTTCATTCTATCTATCTATCTATCTATCTATCTCTGTGTACGTATCTATCTATCTATATATATATATATATATATATATATATATATATATATATATATATATATATATATATATATATCGCTCTATGTACGCTCTTTCTCTTTCAGTTATACTTCATTCTCTCTCTGTCTCTGTCTCTATCTATCTATCGCTCTGTGTACGTCTCTCTCTCTCTTTCTCTTTCTTTAACACTATTTTCTGCTTTACTTCATACCCTCTCTATGTTTTTCTCTATCATCACTTTCTCTCACACTCCCTTCCACTTATCGTCCCCCTCCCTCTCTCCCTCTTAATCACTCACTCTCTCTATACCTTTCTCTATCTCCCTCTATTGTTCTCAGACTTCTTTCTACGTTCTTTTTGCTTAATTTCCTTTGATTCAAAACTTACTCCTGTGATGACGTCATCGAATCGATTGATAAAATTCCTATTATTGTCATCTTATTTGCTTTGATTTCTGGTGTTTATTCTTTCCGAATATCAACCAGAGACCTAAGCTTAGAAATGGTATCAAACATTTTCCACTGAGCATTTTTAACACTTTTCCAATCAATCTGAGGGCTCCAACTACAACTGTTTTCTGTCCTCATGTGTCACATTTTGGAGATTTCGATTTTAAGGTCCTTCTATTTTGATAGTTTTTTTTTTTAAAGATCTTCAAATATATATTACAACCTACAGGGACTGCCACCTCATTAAGAAAGCGCATTCTGTTCTTATGGTTTTTTATCACGATGTCTGAGGCATTAGCTCTGATTGTTTTACATGTCTCATGTATGATTTTTGTATCTCCCCTTTTTCGAAAATAAAAAAAAACTAGCTATTCTGACTACTCCCTAAATATTATTATTATTATTTTTTTATCTCTTTGATTTCTGGTGTTTCTAAGACCTATGTTTAGAAATGGCATCATGACACTTTCCACTGAAAAAAAAACAAGAAATATTTTACATAGATAAAGCCCTTTGTAAAGTGTGGGCTGTAGTCGTGAGAACATTTTTTGTATTTGTTTGAGGCATGGGCTTCCAGGAATCCTTTCAATTAGTCTACTGGAATGTTTTCCAACCAATCCTAGGGCTCCAACTACAACAGGGATTGTTGATGTTCCCATGTGCCAAATTATTTAGATTTCTATTTCAAGGTCCTTATATTTTGACAGCTTTTTGAATATCTTCAAAGATACATTGCAGTCAGCAGGGACTGCCATATCAATAAGGAGGCACATTTTTTGTTTGTGGTCTCTAATAACAATGCCTGGGCGGTTGGCTTTGATTGTTTTGTCTGTGTGTATTGTGTAGTCCCCAAAGAATTGTAACAGGTCTTATCGCCGTAACCGGGTCTGGATGGTGTTCATACCAGTTTCTTTCAGTTTCCTTCCCGTAGAAGTTGCAGATTTTCCAGTGCAGAGATTGGTTCACTCCGTCATGCCTGGTTTTATACTCAGTGGTTGCCAATATCGTGCAACCTGATACAAGATGATCAATCGTTTCTGGATATTTATCACAGAATCTGCATTTTGGTCTAACACAATATTTTAGTATATGTGCTTGATAATTCCTAGTTATTATTATTATTATTATTATTATTATTAATATTAATATTATTATTATTATTTTCAGGTTGCGCCTGGCAGAACTGGCATCATCGTCTGGCACATAAAACCATCTCCGAAATAAAAGCACTGAATGTCGAAATACAAATTCAATGCAAGTTCAACGGTTATTTTGAGACCAACAAGGAAAAAACGAACGTTGTATCCAGTGCGAAAAAATGTTGATCCTGAACCAAAAGAAACAAAGCAAAAGATTTCAACAAGTGGACATGAAAGCGAAACACTTTAACGAATCTCTTTGACTGCTTCCATGCGGAGTTAATGTTCTGCCCAGAGCTAAGAAATATCATCATTGCGTCATAAGAATAATCGCTTTCATTATTTCCACTCTGCTTTCCCCCTACGAAATGTTTTTGCCTGTATTTGTGTTTGTGTGTGGGGGGGATATAAATTTACATGTGCTGCGTTGTTGACTGTAAACTTGGCATAGAGCGAAACACGACAATCGGATATCTCCAAGACACGACCCATAAAAGAGAATTAAACAATAGACGTTATTTTTTTTTAACCAACGACAATTACTGTTTAGATTTTTTTTTCTTTTTAATCTACGAGCTGATTAACTTTTTTCATAAATCATTGTTTTGAAGTTTGCTGGGATTTCCATTATCAATTCACGGGTCCATCGTCCAGAAAACGTTATTTTCAATTAAGATTTTTTTTTTTTTTTACAAATGGAAATTAATTGCACCATTACTGGCTATCTGTAAGCACTGAAATGCTTTTATTAGTAATATTATTATTATTTAAAGAAATGCTTCTGAATTGTAAAAGAGACGGAATATGGAAAATTCTGTTGCAAAGAGGAGTGCCGATTGCATAACCAAATTGTTATTGTAAATCAGTGCTTAAATTTCCCAGAATAAATTTTATACAATGGTTTCTTTTAATTACTTCCGGCGAGGTATAGTGACAGCAGGTATCATCCAATCAAACGATGACACGTCACGCTTTAATAGTTGTGGCAGTGATGCTATTAAAAGGTTTAGTTTCAATATAAGTCACTAAGAATTTACTTGATTTATACATACTTTCGTTTTCACAGAACTATTTTTATGGGTTATTTGATTAAAATAATCAAAGAACTAGAGAGCTTAAAAATTAAAATGGATTAAATAATATTCACTTCCGTCTCAAAGAAAAATACTGGATAATCCAGGTTTTTCTGGGTTTTTTTAATACTGGAAAAAACGGAATTTCCAGAAAGCACTCAGGTATAAAATAACACGCACATAATTTTATAAATAATGATAAAGATATCGTCATAGATATATATATCTATTCATACAAGAGAGGAACTGACTCTATTTTTTATGTTAAGTTTATTTATTTTTCCATTTTAGTTCATAGTAAACGCAAAAGTAAAAGAACAAACATCGAAAATGTGACTATCAGGAATTATTTTCTATTCATTGTACATTAAGGCAAGAATATTTTGTCGAAAACCTATAAACAATACTCTGAACTATTCCCCTGGACAAGAACTTGATTTTAAACAATTATACCAAAGCGGATCATTTAAAAAAAAAACAGAATTATTCTGAACTTTCAATAAAATAAGACAACCATTTCAAACATCCGACTTAATATCTCCCAGGACAACTCACAACCGGTGATCTCTGAATAGGTAAATAATATCAGGCATTTAAGCTCATAAAATGGCACAATGTGCGATTCGTATTCCATGCAGCGAAAAAATGGCGTATAACATGATTAATGAAAGTGAATGCCGCGTAATCTTGACCACAAAATAAAAATATTAGAAGTCTAACGAATCTAGACGTGATATTTAAACTCGCTTAATTGCTGTGTATGTAAATAGAAAATAAACATTAAGGGTTTTTATATTTATACAGATAGGAGTAATTCTTTTTGGCAACTGCTTTCTACTTTCTTCTCATTCTCTAAATCCAATTACAGAAGAAAAAAAGAGCAGCCGATCCAATTTAAAGACGATAACTTAAAATACTCCTTGATATTTCTTCATTCCTATTTATTCTTCAAGAAATGCTAGAGTAATTTGTCTCTATCTAAACATCACTTATATATACGTCCGTTTTCATAGTAACGTAAGTGAAAAATATTTAATATTGTTTTAAGTGAAAAATATTTTAATATTGTTTTAAGAGATAATTTACCATCTCTCGAAAAAGCACCATTATTCCAAAACTTTGCTGTCAAAATAGCGAGTGGTTCATTAACATAAATATAATTTAAATTAAAGATCTTTTTTTAAAAATACATAAAGAGTAAATATTTTCATATTTTTGTATTTAAATTATTATTGATATTTTATAAGAGAACACGATTTTATAAAATGCTTGATCTGTTTATGCTACAGTCTGACAGGTAGACTTAAAATTAATAAATAAAAAATATATTTTAAAGTGAATTATAACCTAATCTCGGTAAAATTCTATTTTGATTATTTTATTTTTCTTTTCATCGACTAAACTTAATTATTTGTTATTTCAAAGATTTTCTTTAAAAAAAAACTGAATTAAGAAATTTTATTTCCATTGTTCCTATCTGTTTGTTAAATCTGAAAATTCTAAACAGTATTTATCTTAATGAAAAGAAATTGTAAAAGAAAAATATTTCCTTTTTGTTATAAACACATATTATTTAAAGCGACCTGATGTTTTAAAAAGAAAGAAAAATAGCTGAGAACTACATCAGTAAAATATTTTTTCTAATATATAAATATTAAAATAATAGGACTCGGCGCATTTTATAATTTATAGTATCAGGAATGGAAATTTATTGAAAGAAAGATCGAGCGACTGAAACAAAATAAGAGAAAACGAAGCTATCTTTTATCCTGAAGAGAAACGTAATTCACAAGATTTTTTTTTTTTTTTTTGCTAAAAACATTGAAAGAAAAATACATGCATAAAACGTGCACATTCCAAAACTGTTCCATAAAAAACTCATTCGCTTCCATTTGTTGAACGCTCAAACAACATGGTGGAATTTATTTAAAACAAAATGGTGGAATTTATTTGAAACAAAATGGTGGAGTTTATGCAAAATGACACAACGCAGTTTCTAAGAAATAAAGTGGCAAAAATCTTGTAAAATTCGGAAGTCCAAGAAATTAAAAAAGAAAAAAAACGGAAATTTTTCAAACGGGAAAATCTACACACAGCCGAAATTAAATTGAATCTTTCAAATTTATTTATTGATATATATATGTATTTATCTATTTATTCTATATATACATATATATACATATATACGAATATTTATATATATACATATATATATTTATATGTATTTATGTAACAAACATGTACTTGAATACTTGTACGTAATTCTATACGTATAAAAACGTACATACTCTTAGTTAAATGTACCCGTGGAAAAAGAAAATGAAAATTATTATGAAAATAATTTTGTCGAATGACTTAAAAATATTTTCAGAAAACTGAAAGATAAAAAATATTTGAAGAAGCCAAAAACATAAGATAAATAAAACAAACACTGTCATCATTTATATATATATATATATATATATATATATATATATATATATATATATATATATGTACTGGTTCAAATGAAGGCATGAATCTGA